TATATATATATATATAACCTGGAACATCCAAGGATTCGGCTGGCGTTTGAGGGCATGGTCCAAGAATGCCAGAGGCTGCTGCTCAGCGCTGAAATCTCAGATGACACCACCCTTGACCCTAATTTGCTTGAACCATTGACCCTTATAATTTGCAGGAACTAGTTTCTAAAGAGCGCTTATAGAAGGTCCATCTTGTCAATATATAAATATTAGGCAGGATCCTGCATGCAATCTCCCTAAAACTCGACCGAAACCAAGTCACCCACACATGCAATTGCCCATCCCAGATGAATATGTAGTCACTCCATGCTATTATACCGGCAATGAAACCTCCAAACCTCTGCATGTACCTGTTCTGCGTGGGTTCCCTCTAGCCCAGCAAAACTTATCAGCGGAGTCCTGGTATCCCGACCATGTTGTCATGGATTTGCACGAGAGCCTGTGGAAGCTAAGGGAGTTGAGGCTTCGGGGCTTAGAGGGCTTACGGTTTAGGGATAGGGTTTAGGGGCCTAGGATTCCGGGTTCACGGTTCTAGGGTTCGGGGCCCTGAACCCTAAACCCTAAACCCCTAAACCCCTCAACCCTAAACCCTAAACCCTATATTCTTGAAGTCTATATGTAGGGGTCGATGTGGGTTCTGTATATAGTGTGCAATCCCACATATAAATACAAACCTGGAAGCCCTGGACTGACATATATCATCATAACCCATTTTAATGATCTGTGCTGTTTGATTTATGTGGATCGAACGATCGAGAGGTGGGCATGCAAGGCACTGTAAATTAGGGTCGTATATTTCAGGATTGAGATCGAGGCTTCGACTAGGTTCCTATAGGGTTTTTTGTCTAAGGATTTTGGGATTTATAGAGCAACCCTGCCTGTTTATCCCGGCCTTACAAGGATGGTGGCCTCCTGGGACATGGAGAGCCGAGTGAGGACTGCAAGAGTGCCAGGGATCGCAGTGTTGGGTAGACTTATATAGATATATATATATATATATATAGTGTATGAAGACCGATCCTATATATGACCTCTCTCTCTCTCTCTGATGACCATGATGTTGAATTGATGTCTGCTCGTGCACGATCGTCAGCTCACGAGTGTCCAACCAGTCGGGAACTTCGTCTCCCCAGCTCAATATGTCCTCGGGCTGTCTCGATCCGGCTTTGATGCCACGATCTCCTGCCATGCAGCCGCTTCCTGCTGATTGCGTGTACGCAAATCGCATTGCGACTTCGCTGCCGGAGCCCGGTGTGTTTCGAGCCACCGTGTTGTGAATCGACGACTCCTTGTCGACATGGGATCGATGAACTTCATCCGCCAAGACGGTAGGTTTCCCGGTCCGCAATCGGTCCACATGCTGCTGCGATATTCTATTTTAAACCCATGCAATTATACTTGAAATTATAAACTTATTTAGAGGATGTGATGGCAAGTCAGGGTGTAGGGTTTAGGGCAAAGATCATTCCATATAGAAATCGTCTATAACGGGTATATATAAGGTCGTCTCCAGGATTACCAGAGCAGAAAGAAATCAACTCCATGTATCGATCAAACAATATGGAGTATACCATGACTTGTCCACTTTGGGGTCGCACCGGGATTGGGGTATATTAAACCCTTATATAGCCCTAAACCCCAAAGTCTGAACCCTAAACACTAAACCCCAAAACTATAGAGTTGTCAAATCTTATAATATGTCCAACCTAAAGCTGGGGCAACAACAGTGCTTGCACGGGCATTGGGGGATATTAAACCCTTATTATAGCCCTAAACCCCAAACTCTGAGCCCTAAACCCCAAAACTATAGAGTTGTCAAACCTTGATGTCCAACCTAAATCTGGGGCAACAACAGTGCTTGCACGGGGATTGGGGGATATTAAACCCTTATTATAGCCCTAAACCCCAAACTCTGAACCCTAAACCCCAAAACTGTAGAGTTGTCAAACCTTGCTGTCCAACCTAAATCTGGGGCAACAACAGTGCTTGAAGATTGTGAGCACGAGGTCGCCACATGGATCCCCTGCGCCAAAGTGAAGTTCAAGACTATATTATACATTAAAATAATCCAACCGTATATTACATTAAACATATACCCTAAACCCTTAGCCTATGCAGTGACACTATAATAGGAAGAGTTTCGTGTGATGGTTTGAATGGTTATAGCTTCTCGGGCTTGTGGGTGGTAAAGGTTGCTGCAAGGTTTTTTCTTGTTAGTTTCCGAGAACTTTACTGTTCTGGAAGTACACTCGAGCTCCTAATTCGCAGGGCCCTATATGTTCAAGCTTGCATGCGGCTCCTGAACGATGATTTGTGTGCATGCTGCTTCTTCTTATAGCAATATGCTTGGAATAAATGATGAAGTTTTCAGGGGGATCTTGCACCTATCCTAAACCGAAATTGTGGGGAATAGATGTATATTATATGCCCGATGGTGCAAGATCCCAGTCTATAGCTTAAGCTTAGCAGGTTGATGCACTGCACTCGGATTGTCCAGTCGCGGATGTGAGGCATTCGTGCCATCTTCGTCTGGGGATTGGCCTCCTGCTTCTCAAAGCTTGCAGCAGCACTTTCTTCAATCCCCGTACAAGCTGCAGCTTGTGTCCCCAAGCGTGCATCTGCAGCGCATCGAATACGTTCTTCTGGATGTGGCTGCTGTTCGACTTTGGCACTCCAAAGCGAATGAAAGGGCCATGTCGTCGGGCTCCTCGCCCTGTGCCTCGCTTAGCCTCGCTTGCGCCACGTTCGGCCTGTCGCTCCTCACCAGTGCAATATCCAGCCGTCATGCGTGCAATCGACTTATATAAACCCGAAACCCTAAACCCTAAACCCTATGAGGGTTTTGTATCTCTGGATACTAGCATGGGTACTTCTTGTAGCTGCAACCGACATATATGACAAGTTTCAAACCCATGCAAGTACACTGCCAAGTACCCCATCCCCGACAAGGCTATTATATTGGTTCCGGGTCCGCCCTGAACGCAAAACCCTACTAACCGCCGAGCTGTGTTCCACTTGCAAGCTTGCCGACCGAGTTTGTAAAGCACGATTTGAGGCTGTAAGGTTTAGGGTATAGGGTTTGTATAATATAAATATATACTACATTATATCTGCGATATCAAAGTCAGAAACACTATGCTGTAAAGGCTGAGGACCCATCCCCACACAAGAGATATAGACCTATATAGAGGAGCTCTCCAATTGTTAGGCTGCAAAAGAGACATGATATTTTCGGTCACGAATAATCTTGCCAATACTGAACTCCGACCCTATATATATATATATATATTATTATAAATAGAAATAGGTTCAGGGTTTAGGGATTTAGGGTTTAGGGGTTTGGGGGTTATATCAATGATTGTTATATAAGGCCTTATATTTCTACAAACCCAAAATCTTCTATGTAAGACTAAAGTGAGAACGAGAAGCCGCATCGAAGTTAAGTAATCGAAAGAAAACCACAAGCCTTGCACAAAAAAATCCCTGTATTTCTGGAACAAAGCAGACTACATCTACTGCATCGAAAGAACAAAACCCTCAGTGGCAATGTAACCCGCTATGTGTCAACGATCTGGCCGAACCCTGATCTTACCTTGCCCTACACCCCTTTAAACCCTAAGCCCTGGCAGTCCTATTACACCCTAATTAAGCCCTAAAGCATGCAACCCTGCAAGCCTTACTGAAACAGGAGCCTGGTGCCTGCGAATGCGCCTGCAGAAGATGTGGAGCCGAAGAAAGCTCCTCAGGGAAAGGCCAAAGGAAAAAACAGGCGTGCAAATCAGGAGCAGCCAGTGCCGAAGCGAGCCAAGAAGTGAGAGGAGGACGGAATCGGGATAGCTACAACCGCCTATGTTACAGCATAGTATAAGTCGATGTTCCGATCGATGCCGCACCTCCCTCTAGATCCAGCCTGTGATGGCATACCAATCACAGCATGGGTTGCCGTTTTGATTTCTGAATAGGGGTGCGTGAGCCAGGAGATGTCATGACTGCTTCGTAGACTACATATATAGTCTGTTCTAGCATGAAGTATGATGGGTCTATAGTGAGAAATGGATATGCAGATCGGGTCCTCTATATGCAAATGCACCAGCAACCCTGCACGATTACAAAACTATCTTAAATAAACAAGAAGCCTTCTGCAGTAGTATCCTGAAGCCTGATTGGGCACTACTTCCGAACTCGGCTCCTGCACCCATGCGCCCGCAGCCTGGAGTTTGAAGTGAGACCTTGTGCTGGAGCTGTGCAGCTATACAACCTTATATAAGCTTAAATGTTAAACCTTAAAAGAGCCCACCCTGGCCCACCCTAAAGTATTGCATGGTGCATATATAGATTTAAGCACACTAGGTCACTATAGGGTTTCACGGTTTATTGTTTAGGGGCAGGTGTAAATCACACTTTTAGAATCCTATAAACCCGGAACCCTGAGCTATACAAGTCGTATGGCTGCACAGGAAGCACATTCCGGCATGATTCAGCACTGCCTGTGTGACTGCAAGGTTTTAATTTATATATATATATGGTTACATAAGGGGTCTGTCGGTTCCGATCGAATAGTGTTCCCGTCTCATTCAGAGACTGGTTTGCTTGCAGTGTTCTTCTACGAGATGCTGATCAATGCCGCTATACACTGGGTTCTTGCACAAAAGAAGAACAATTCTTAACTTAGGTGGCTACATAACTCCGTGCTTGTGTACACACATAT